CGTATATCCTTGCAAACTCACTCACAAGTGTTGGTGCGCATTCTTCACTATTTCCAACGACTACCAGCGTTATCAGTGTTTCTACCACTTTACCGTATGACGAATATTTATATTTGCGATAGCATAATAGACATTGTCAATTTGAGTTGGTTCAACGTTGGTAATTTCTTCATAAGGAATCCATTCAAGACGTAGACCTTTTTTTTCACTTTCCGAGGAGGATTCGACCAAGTTGCAAATTGCTGGATTCTGAATAATCCCTGACGTTAACGACATGTTTGAATGAACAAATTTTCAGGTTTCAAGAACTTATTATTTATATTATCGTATTACTGTATTACGTCACACGGTACGTCGTACACTCGTACCCGTTTATATCTCCCCTTTTGTTTCGCCCCTCAAGTGGGGATATAAGTGTACAATGTATCTTATCGTATAAGGATATTTGTTTTTATAAACGTTGGGATATAATATAACCCAAATTGCAATTTGATATAGACACCTTGAGATTATCGCGTGAGGTAAACCTTTCGATGTGCAGCTGAGAAGTTATTTTTAGGCATATTAATATGAAACCGCGATTAATTTATGTCTACTATCACTGGCATATGTCGGGAAGGGGAAACTTACAATTCAACGTTATGCATAGCTAAGCGTTGTCTTAAACCGATTTGAATGCAATCATTGTCTAACTTAAGAATCACTGTAGTAGCCATACTATGATTTACGGTAATTGGGATTGGGAGAGCGTGAGTATTCCTGATCCAAAATTGAGCGTATCGCATATATGATTATTAGTACCCGGAAGCCTTTCCCAAATTACTTATTTCGGGTCCAAGTGACATTTCGGACAGGGAACAATTGCCACTACTAATAATAGCAAAAATTTGACGGTGAATATGTCGACGCTTGAGACGTTTTAGTTTATTGATCTTTTAATGAATTAGAATGTGAAAACGTTGACAACAATATCGTCAATTATTATATAAACTAGCAATGCTTGAGATATGTTTGGTATCTTTTGTAGGGAGGATCTATTTATTATTATATAATAAAGTAAGGTTGTAAGTATAAGTACAGTATTCATTGATTGAGTGTGGTTAATTAGGACTTGATGTGCGAGTTAGGATAGTGAGTGAAGTTGATAGACGGATTGCTTATCATATAGTTTTAGTTGTATTAATTATTATGGCTAATGTTAATAGTTGGGCTAGCTTTGGATATATTATAATGTTAATGTACTGCTGTTAGAAAATGGAGTTAGTATTTGTATGTATGGAAAGTGGAAGAAAGATCAGTTGGAATTATTACTGTTTCACTAATAGTAGAGGCTCAATATAAATATAACGCTTTTTTTATCTGATTTCTCAGCTAATAAATTAAGCAGTATGTGGAGCAGTAAAGTTGGGTAGCAGAGCAAAGAGAAAGGACCATCTCCATGGTCCGCACCTGATGGTATTAGTACGCATATTCTAGAAAATATAATAGTTTAATGAAAAATAAATGATGGTTTCACCCTATTGCAATTGTGCAGGAAATGACTGCCTAATAATTCTGTGTTTATAATAGTAATATTACAAGTAATTGATACAAGAATACTGGATACTTGTGACATTATATCTGGCTTGGCCAGCCAAGTCTGTCCTTTCAACCATATTTATATTCTGACAGGCATCACATGACATTATAGACAATTTTAATTGATGGATTTGTTCCATGTCGTTTTTAATATAAAAGTTGTTTTGGGATACTAATACACTTATTATTATGATGTTCAGCTTCTAGATAGTCTTGATGCGATTGGCAAGCTAATGTGACAAATATAATGTGAAAAACTTTTTGGGTGTGGGAAAATAAAACCGTTTATGTAGTAGTATAGTAGTAGTAGTAGTGGAACTTCCCTCATCAGTACCATTATATTGAAGTTTGATTTTAGAAATTTACTTAAAAAATATTGGAGATTAAGCGTTTTCTAAGAAAGCACAATCTCAGCTTTACATTTGAGTAACGCAGATTTCAATGTACGTCTTGGTAATCCATCAGTTTGGTTTACATGTTTATTACCAGATGATTGCATGGATCCTGTTGAGCCAAAACTGCGGAAGAGCTATCTCGAGAGATTTAGCCAAGTTCGAGCAAATGCTTTTAGTCAAATAACTGACATTTTTTACTCACAACATCAATGTCGTTGTGTAGACAACGATTCTCAATAATTAATGGTCCTCGAGTAATTTCGCGACAGTTAATTGCAAGAGTCCAACATGCTTCGCAGCGATCCACAAAGACAGCATCCTTCAGAACATTCAACTTGGTCACTGATATTTTTCTCCATTATCTATTGGTGGTAGTCTACAGACTGAGGTACATTCATTATTGTAATAAACGCGTTTCGTACTAGCCCAGTTAATTATCGTAAACGCTACGGAAGTAAAGGAAGCGATTATTCTTTTTTGATATAGAGTTTATCATCTATATCGAATAATCAGTCTCAAACGTGTAGTCGTAAACTTGCAATGGGATTCTGTCTCAAATATATCTTGATTACAAACATCATTAATGGCCTATAGTTTAATAAGAAATGTCTCAATTGGATACAAGATTCGTTTTTACCAACTCTCCCATTATAGTTGTTGTAACTCGGCCAAATTATTTGATAATCTATAATTCTTTAATTTGGACCATTGGAAAGCGATTAACTATTTTGGAACAGTTTATTTTTGCCAAGACGGCTGAGAGTATACTGTTAATCTCTTCAATTATTTGCTGAATAATCTGCTATTGCTGGAAATATATTCACTAACTAGGATGTTGGATATTTGCGTAATTCACGAATTTCTTATACAGTTTACAGTAATTTAAAAGCATATAAAACCCCGTACAGCAGCGTTATATCTTGTTGGTCCCGCAGTTTAGTGGTTTATTATTATTTCGAAATACTGGCGCAAGCGGATAGCGTATTACAATTTACTTAATCCCGTTGTACGACTAAAGAAGTTTAGTCTTAATACTAAATCTCCCCATACATATTTATCATAACATTTGTTCTAATATTCAGCCTATATATTCTTCAATAATTGGGAATATTCTGATCGCGTTAGGTTAGTGATATATAAAGATGCGATCCAACAATATATATGGTAATACGCACCAAATCGCGATTACATATTATTGTTGGGGTTAGGTTGTTTCCCACATGGTTGATAGCATTTCCATTTTTCGCTATCCGCGACGCAGGATACATGACTCGATAACGACAATGCAAGCATTATCTCGTTACAAAAAGACTTTTTTGCTCCCAAACTTTGCTTCATGCAGCCTTAATTTTCTAGTATTACCAGCCACACTAGGTCAAGTAACCCCAAACAAATTTGTGGCTGCCCCACATTTCCATTGATGATGTCACCAACATCATCTAAACTCTCACTTCCGCATCTGTATACTTCATCTGCATGCATATGAAATAAAAGACTAAAAAATAAAACCACCTATTCTTCTCCCTCGTGCAAAGAGCACACAAGCAAGAACCAAAGACTAGGGAAGGCGCGAATAAATCACGCGTACGTAGTCATGAGCTGGGCTTATCTCTCTAAACGCGCACAGTTACGCACAGAAAATGTCGCCCTTCTTAAGGAAGGATTCCAGGAAGCTCAGAAAAATCCATATCACAGAACTGACAACCCGTCGGGAATAATTCACCTGGGTGTAGCTGAGAACCAGCTCATGGTAGAAGAACTACTGCAAAGGGTGCGTGCGAGTAATCTTCCCTCCCTACTAATTAACTGTAGACACTATAGTTCCTCTTTCCCAAATCCCAAATCCCAAATCAATACATGAGTGATTCCAACTGTTCAATTACATTAATACATAAATTAATAATTGACCATAGAACAGCGAATTAATGACATGAATGATAATTCTAAGAGCGAATTAAGTATATTCAGTATTTAAATACTCAATTCTCCCCCCCCTCTTTTACTATCATATTAACAGCTTCCAACACTATTAGACCTCGAATCACGACACCTCCATTACGGACACAATACTGGCTCACAAGAACTACGTACTCAAGTAGCAAAACTCATCAACAGATATTTTAATGTACAATCTGAGATACTGCCCGAACATATTACCGTCCACACGGGAGTCACCAGCGCAATAAACGATTTGGCATATGTATTGTGTGATGAAGGAGATGGCATCCTGATCCCCACACCCTATTATGGTACTTGTTGCTTTTGTTAATCTCTTTATCCGTCTCTCCCTGCAAACTTTTCATTTTCCGTCGGCATTTTCTGTGCACATAATACAATCACATATTGTACCATCATGATAACTTTCCATTCATATCATCGTTTTTATAGGATATTTCGACCAAGATCTCTATCTCAAAGTACATGCCCGCGCTATACCAGTTCATATTGGATCAGCAAGAGAAATATTTGACGAGCAAGCTCACATCGAACAATTAGAGTCGGCTTATTCTAAAGCCACCAAAGACGACAAGATAAACGTCCGCGCTCTCCTCGTCACTAACCCACACAATCCACTTGGACAGTGCTATCCACGTCCCGTACTTGAAGCACTGTTAAAGTTTGCCAGTAGCCATAAATTGCATATTATCTTTGACGAGATCTATGCCCTATCTGTATTCGACCATGTGTTAGAGTCAAGGACACCGTCAAATTCAATGAGGAGTTCCCTCTCGAGAGTCAAACAACCGTTTATGTCAGTATTAGCGCTGGATAATCTGGATGAATTGATTGATCCGGCCTTTACTCACGTCGTTTATGGACTATCCAAGGATTTCTGTCTCAACGGTAAGCAAGGGATATATGAGCGGTGAATGAATTAACGAAAAGAGACAATTTATTACAGACAGCAAGAAAAGGAGAAATGAATAATTTATTTGACTAGGATGTGAGTAATATATGAGGTTATTAATTACTTTATTATCTGGTATACCTTATAGGTTTCCGAGTAGGATTTTCCATTAGTCCATATAATCAAGCCCTCCGAGAGGCTCTGAAAAATATCGCGTATGTACAACAAACGTTAGATCGCATTCCCCTAATAGTTTCATCAAATACTCACCCAGCGTACTTTTCATATCAGTGAACTATCGTGGGTAGGTACACCATCAGAAAACATTGCAACAAACCTGCTCGCAGATGAGAACTATATCGATTGGTTTCTTACGACAAATCAACGTCGTCTTTCCGAAGCATACTCTCGCGCAATAACCCTATTATCAGACGCTAAGATTCCATATCTCCCCGCTCAAGCGGGTCATTACATCTGGATTGATTTACGAGAATATGTGTCAGGAAGTAGAAATCAGGAACACGAGTTATTCAGAAAGATTCTGCAGAATGGAGTATATATTGCCTTGGGTGATGCTTTTCATTCAGAAGAACCAGGATGGTTTAGTCTGACATTTGCTGTTGAGGGGGAGATGCTTCGAACGGCTGTATCGAGGATTGTTGAAGTTTTAGTGAAGTTTAGAGATAATTGAAAGTTTATACTTATTATTAAAAATAGTCGGTTTATAGAACAAACGTGTGATCAGGTTGTATCGAGATGAAGAAGAAATTGAGAGGATAATGGGAATAGGATTCAATTGTGGAATAGAAACGGTCATTGAATCGAACATTCGTCCTTTGGTTTGTTATTCAATAACCTCATGTGAATCTATCTTCTTTTGTGTTTTGCATTCATATTCATGCCAACGTATAAGGTTCTGGTGTAGTAGCACTTACAAATGTGCACCATTTCCATTCTACCATATATTTATGTACCTTTTTGATTGTAATATTGGTATTAAACCCCCATTACTCAGATGAAAAGACGTTTATGACAGAGGTGACACTTTAGACCTTTTGAAAATTACAGCGACTCGTTTGCAATGTTTTATTATAACCAACCTGTTTATCGAACTGGCACTACCTCTTCCCCCCTCAATTTTCATCTTACGTGTTAGTTATCCACATGTCAGCTCTAACGGGATTATCTTTTTGTAGTCGATCGATACTGATCAATCTATTAGCTACGAGCATATACACAGCGGACACACCTTGACTTTCCTGTAACCCTTGCTCACGCGCAGCTTGTCCAATCTTCTCTTTCAGACTTGCCAATGGAATGATTCCATTAGCATCACGTATAATTTGTAATACTATTGCGCAGAGAATGATCTGAGAAGTCGAGCTCAAGTTTGTAGTAGTGTCTTGATTAATGTCAGGGTACGATCCAGCAGCTACATGATCTGTGATTGTACTATTTATTTCCCTGTATTGACATTGAGGAAATTGCGCTTAAAACACGAGTTTTAGACAAAGTATGATAAGTCGGGAAACACAACTTACGCCAGTACGTCAACATCACAATCGAGGAGGTCATATTTGCGGCGGTCTTCCATTAATTTCTCTAATTCATCCTCTGCTGTAGTCTTTTGACATAAAGAATATGCATAAGCATGCATAATATCAATAACTCTAGTAGAAATCCGAACGCGTCTTACCATTAACGTGTGTATTTTTAGGGAGAGTTCGGAAGTTTTATTATTAGACAGAGCATCTGTTGACATTCTCGTCTATTTTTAGCCATATTTCATAATGTTAGTAATGACATTATATATAGATGACACGTTATAAGGTAATACTTACCGTATTATCTCGTATTAATGCGTTATATCGTGCTTTCAGACGACCAAATTCAGTATCCTCTGTTTCTCGCTCGGTTTCTGCTTCATCTAGTAAACTGATCTTTGATTCTACCATAACTTATGCGTTACATAGTGCTGACTATGACTAATCGTGAACACGTTAGCTCAAATGATGCACCTATTTCGTCTAAAACTTGTCGAAGCGTTTCAAGCTCCTGCACCCGTTCGGCTAATTTCTAAAGAACGACATTATGAGTTGGTGAATTTCCAATGCAGTCGACATGATATTGCTCCAGACTCTAACCTTGCGTTCTTCATCGTCAGCCGAGCGCATTTGCTTGCTCATGCGAGCTTCTTCCGCCTGATATCTTTGATCATACAACTTTGCATCCAGAGCATCATTCTATTACCAAAAAACGGTATGCACATTCCATTACACATGTTTTACACATACTGATCGCATTCTAACGATATTCTCATACCATGTCTTGGTTCTCCTTGACTAGCGCTTCTAATGCAAATATTTCCATATTTTCGCGCTTTATTTCTTCTTCGAGAGCTGGATTCGGCTTTTCGTTAGTTTTAAGCTTGCCAAGATTTATCTCTTGCTAAAGAAAAAAAAAGTAAGCCAATCTCAGTCAAAAAAGGGGGAGGAGGGGAGAAAAGGTTTATGTGGCCAAAGAATTATAGCACGATTAGAAGTATTCTAACAATCCACGCATTACCTTTTGTAATATAGATTCCAATGAATCTATCGACGATGTTATCTCTTCATTGCGTTGATTCAGAGTAGCGATATATTTTTTGGCATCTGCAAGACCACTAGGTAATTGTTTACCACGACACAATTTATCAATATCCATTCCGCACAATGACTAGCCTATATTGTGAATTCTGTCTGCATACCATATCTGTGCTAAAACGTTTGCACCTCTTATAAGTCTTTCAACAGTCAACGGACCTGCACCTCGTAAAGGGGTTGGAGGTTCGAATTGCGGTCTTTTTAATATAATTTAGCATGGATGCCATTAGATATTGAGAAAGATGTCTCTATAAAATCGAAATGGGACGCATATATGCTACCGGGTAAGCACTCCTCCCTCGTCGACCATCGTAAAAAGTTTCCTTTCATGCATAAATGCGTCTCTAATAGCTCCTCGAGCAGCTGTTCGATCAGTCAATACATCCACACGCCCTTGGAGCGATGGAAAATCAAGTGACGCTACTTTTGCAGAAGCATTGACAACATTCTCCAAATGTTGAAGCGACATTCTGAGAACGGAAGTTGTATAAACACGTTGCTTATTCTTCTTCTCGGGGGTAAAAAAAATGTAAATTAATATCGGTGTTGTTACGCGTGACGTCAAAATTCAAACATCAGATCATTCTCAGAATAGGTAAAGGCGTCAAGCCACAGTTGATCTTGAACATGTAAGAAATTCTGTGCACAGAGCGCGTTCCAATTATGGCGTGCCCTTGTGGAAGTCAACAATATTTCTTGTAAAGAACAATCTTTTCAATTGCAACCGTGTCAAGACAGAACTCAGGTTAGTATAAAATTAAAAGAGTCGATACGGAAGTTGTCCTAACGAAGAACGCACTCTTCAAAAGACGTGTAAGCAAAGCTTTCCTTTCAAGCCTTTCTATCAAATTATATTCATATCGTATGCCTCAATATATTTAATATAGTCGTTAAAAAAAAAACCTACATGTCCGATTCTCCGTCAAACTCACTTCACTCTAACGCGGCACAGTCACAACAAGACCAAGTTCCGCGTGCTATGATGCATACTTTTATGATTCAGGGTGCGAAAATGGTCGAGTGCGACCAACAGCTCGTGCCGTCCAAGTCTCCCTCGTCTGCACTCACGCAACCTCTCACTCCAAACAATTCACTTCGCACACAAACAACACCCAGAAATAGTCTAACAAGATATAGTCCAGTAAAACATAATCAACCAGAACATAATAGCCTAACAGAGCATACTCCAACAAAACATAATAGCCCAACAAAAGGCAGTCCTGCAAGACAAAGCCCTGCAAGACAAAGTCCCGCAAAACACAGTCCCATGGCAGAACTACCACCGTCGAATTTCGACGTAACTTTGGCAGTGAAAACTGGCGTACTAACGATGGAAGACGTTTTAGACAAGGGTTCTCCGTTCCAGCAGCAACAAAACGAGATTCGCAAAAGAAAGCGCGACAGTATCGATAAAGATAAACCAACCCGAGAAAGATTATCAGTCAACATTGAGGATATTGAAAATACCACGCCCACATCGCCATTATCCGGCAAGCAAATGAAACGCACGCGAACTACGCCTTCACCAAAAATCAAAAGTCCTGGAAGCATACGACGTGGTAAATATCTCCCATCAAACTTGAGCACACATCAAGACCCAAAGAAGAAACCGGGATTTTCATATGCGTCATTAATCGGCCAAGCTATCTTACAGTCACCGACGCGTAGACTCACGCTAGCAGAAATTTACGAATGGATTGCCAAGACATATCCGTATTACAGAGTTGCCGGTCCTGGTTGGCAGAATTCGATTCGTCACAATCTCTCGCTAAATAAGAGTTTCGTTCGCATAGAGAAACCTTCGTCCGAACCCGGGAAGGGTTCTCATTGGACAATTAAGTCTGGAGAAGAAGATCGATTTATAGGTGGAACGTACCGGCAGCGGAAAAACGGTATGCGTGGCCGAAGTCAAGGAAACCAAGAAGCAGACTCGCAAGAACTCGAAACGCACGATTCACTAAATGAAGATGAGCTGGCTGCTTTGGCCGGTTTGGATATGGTTTCCGACATGTTCAGTGAGGGCAATTCTGAGGTTGGTTTGGAGACGTCATTGGACCTCAGGCCGGATCAAGTCAACGCGTTATGGAAGAAGCTTGCGAACGCGGCAAAGAATAATAAGTCATCCGATAACGACATATCCGCAGCAGTAGACTCGTATGATGAACACGATCTTTTTCCCTTTGATCTAGATATAATTGAAGAACCGAATGACGAACAGATAGTATTTGAAGACCTGTGTGCTCAATTAGAGCAGAACATTCAAGAACAGAATGATACTAATGTTGACGACATGAATGGTGCCTTTACACCGACCAACACAAACGAGCTCGAGTTGGGTTCGCTTGACTCACTCTGGGATCAATACTTTTCGAATAATGATAAAAGTCAGGCAGATGATTCTGATGTGATACCGTTTGATTTGACTGCTGACCTTGCCCCAGAAGAAGTTAATGCCCTATGGGATCAGTATTTTGCCATTTGTGAAGAGACAGACAATAATCGGACGATTAATACTGTCAACATCGAAAGACAGAATGAACAAGACAAGGTCGAAGGACAAAATACTGTAACTGGACCGTTACAAGAGGGCACATCTCAAGGAGAATGTGGTCCTCTTAGAACAGATGATGACACTCTTTGGTTACAATATCTTTCTCTAGCTTCTTTTTCGGATTCATTGTCTCCCGTTATCTGCTCCTTATTGCCTCTTATCTAATTTGTGTGCACATTTTATTCTCCTTCCCTCCCTTTCTAGGTTTACAGATTTGCTTTGTTTGTATGTAATAACTCGTAAAAAAACCCCAAAATATTCAAGATTTGTTTCGATGTGAATAATAACAGTATATAAGTAAATAAATCTAAACGTTTGTCTGGAATGTTTCCTGACGTATGTAAACTGATGATTGAATATCTATTGCTACTACTGTGTGGGAATTCTTTGCCAGTCTCGGGGAAATGTCACAAAATGTGGGAGACGCTTATTCCAAAGAATTGGTATTCTAACCATAGTTGGGATAGATGGTCGTTTTCCATAACCAGACCTAAAAATAGAGGTTAACGCTCAAAATTGCTAAAGTTGAGCATAGTAATTTACTTAATAAAGCATGTGCAACGTCTTGGCTGTACAACAATAAGGTTTATTTAAAATAGGTTGTATTAATACTGCATTAACGCTTAAATCAGGCAATTTACAATATTGTTCCGAATTTCCAAATATAGTTCTAAATGTACATGATATGTAATCGTTATGTCAACATGAACAAATTGCTCTTACTATTACAAAGAGAGATTGCGGTCATAAAGTCTTATCGTATATGCCTGCATTAAGCATAATCTCGGATACGTAGTTTGATATAGGCAATTGATCCGTAATATATATGTATATTTTTTCGATGCTTGATAACATTGGCTTTTTACCTATACCATTGGACCTTTCCGATCCTCGATGCCAGCTGCCGCAACTGATGGATCGTTTCACGACGCATTCTTTCAACGTTCTCGTAAAAATTATCGCCATATGGAGATCTCAACGCTGGAGAAATTTGTAAACAAGTTTATTGTATTGAGTGGATTATCGCAGACCATTCTGGACCTCATTTTACATATCTACAGATACAATCTGTACAGAAAGAACGAGAACACGAGGCAGATGGCTAGAACAAGCCCTTCAGTACATCCTCGCGCAAGTTCAGATTACTCTTCCGTCTATTGTAATAAATTTAACCAATTATTAAAATCTAGTAAATTAACGTAATAGAGATACAAGTGAGGATATAACAAACGATCAAGGCTATAATAAAACCAAAAAACCAGTATTAGAGTAAACCGAACGTATGAAGTTTGCACATATAACATATACGTGGCGGATAGGAAAAGAGGAATCTGTTTTACACCAAAGCCAATTCCAAAGTCCATGTGCGCCTGCACCACAGTCGTACTTTTGTGGGATTATCTTCTTCGCCGATTGAAACCTCTACTCCGTCCCACCAGCATTTCCTCTATTTATGTTCAAGAGGAGGGGGGAAAAGTTGTTAGTTAGTGACGAAACTGAAATTATCCCAACAATCCACATATAAGTTTGCTGTTGCATACTAACCGCAGGTTTTCTCCAAAACAAAAGCAATTTCTGTGCTGTCGCCATTTGATTACTCTGACCGGTTGTCTTGAGCATCACCAACGCAATACTGACGATACTCGTCCTTTGCGGTTCAATATTACGATAACCCCACTCGTCATCTCTTGAAAATCCAGAAACACACAGCATGTCAATCAGATGTTGTTCGGCAGCATTATTCTCCTTGTTTACATTTCGTTGCAATGCGGTGAATATCTTCTTTTGATTTAGGAGATGCACGCCACATTCTGATTTCAGAGTGTAAAGGTCAATAACCGACTCGACATCGCTATTATTGTCTCTTAGATAGGAAGCTACATCAACTACGACTTTTTTTGATTTTGGTGGTATGGTAAAGTAATCCAACTCTTCTCTCAAAACGATGATTGCTTGCTTGTTTAGCAAAGGGTTCTGAACACTCGGAGGATAAGCCGAAGCACCGCCTCCTTGATGATTAGAATAAAAAGCCTCCTGTGCTTTTTGATAGAATTCCAGGATAAATGTTAGACAGGCGGGATCGAAATTCACATAAATAACTTGGTCTTCCAATCCTTCCGAATCTTCAGAAGAGGTATCGCCATCAGATACTTCTTCACCGTATGGATCTATAGCGCCTCTTCCTATGATAAGACCGTTGGGAAACATTACAATAAGAATGCTCTCTGGCAAACTCATTAACATTTCCCTATCGATTTCAAATCGTGTTCCTCGTAATTCGAGAGAGAGCCTCGTCGGGAAGGTTTGTTCCGGCATCTGAGGCGTTTGCATGGGAGCCACTTGAGTTATGGGAGAAGAGGCGATTTGAGACATTTTTAGTTAATCGCTAGTAGGCCGAGTATAGTTGAGTGGATATTATGGATTCGAGAATATTAGATGAAGGCCGTTGAAGAGGGAAAACGAGAAAGAGCGTTGTGTTTTGTTGTTGTTATTATCAGGGCGATACAAAGGACCAGCCAACCACAGAGTGCACAATTGGCACTATGTGAAACGCCCGAAATATAAATTATTATAAATGGTTTTAGTGTAACAATCACATACTACTGTGTGATTTAGCATTTGTGTGCATTATAAGCGTTTGCTTTGAGCCCCAAACTACATCGACTCATAGTGATGTTACCTTTCATTTTACCACGCGGTAAGAAGCGTGTGAAACTATAAAATCTTGTGGTAAAATTATAGTAAAAAAGTCGTATGAAAACCGTTTTTTACGTGAAATACGGCAAAAAAGTTAGTCAACTAGCAAATTGACTTTAAATTGCAAATTCGCAATATTATATAAAGCTGTACAGTTGCTAGTACTAAACAAGTTGAACGCAGGGCAGGCTTGTACAGTCGAGTTAAACAATATTGTAAAAACAACTTTACGTGTACATCGTGAGCAAACGTCATTGCTTTTTTACAAGTGGCCGAAGCTATTCTTCATTCTTTGACGATAATAAAAGGCGCTCTAATTCCAACACGTAAATCGTTTTTAGTAGTAATTATAATTAATGGTTTAAAATCGACATTTGTTAAATAAAAATGTTGTATACAGGAAGTAACTCACATCTACTACTTATAGCTCGCAATGTTGTAAACGAACTCGTTATTAGAATGAGCTGAACAAGGACATGCCAATGTACAGAATGACCTCAAACAAATGGACAATGTTAATTTATTCTCTTTATTCAAGGTCGCATACATACATATGCCAGGAAACAAGTGTAATGCAAACAATAGCTTAACAATTAAAAATTACGAGAATGTTCCTTGTGCAAAATGTAAAGAATAGCTCGTATATTAATATGTATTAACTTTTGATGATTTTAACTATTATCACAAACTTAAACCTTTTATATAAACATTATCGATATAGCTGTTATGGGAATCCTCGACAAATACAAGCAATGCATGATTATCTTACATTCATGTGTCATAAATCATACGAAGCTACCAAAAAATAAATGTGCCCTAAAAGAGGTCGTCGTTACTAATAAGATTCCAATGGCAATCCGTCTGATAAATTTTTGTTCATGCTTCAAATCTTCTTTGTTATGCAATTGCTAAGTTTTACTATTTCCAAAACTTGAAAAAAATTCACTGACGCATCGAATATATTAGACAACATAAAAGCCAATTTCAACATTGGCTTACGCTTAATTGAAATGGTAACACAGCCAGACTGTGTATTTACCGTTCTCTGGCTTAATTCGTTCATGGAATGAATACATTGATCAAAGCATTAAGCCGTCAGCCATTTTTAGCTGACAGCACATGATTACAGGGCAAATGCCCAGTGAGACACGTTAATAGCACACCTGACAATGCAAACGTTACGGCTTGTGAATGACCATAATACTAAGCTTCCGGTGTACAGTTGATGGACAACTCTAGATGGTTTATTTCCCGCTCTCAAAAATCGAATAAGTGATTATCTACTCATACGTGAGCTGTGGCTTTATAACACCGGAAAGAACGTCGCGTTTGTAAATCATTAACAAAATCAACAGAATTTTTAATATCTTAATCTGTTATATTAATAGGCGTTTTGTTATTATATCCCAAATACTGTCGGTTTGTGGAAGGGGGTAATCATAACTCGCAGCAACCAATGAGCACGACAGAAATCATGCAATTACAAGTATAAATTTGCATTATTTAAATGTTTTACTTAGCGCTTATCATCAAACCATGTCGAATTCTGCAGATCAAAAGTGAGTGTTCATCGAATAATGAGCAAGACTTACTTTAAACATTCAAAGTAGACTTAGTCACTCTTCCCCATACTTAGTATAGATGAACCCGTAGATGAACGGGTTCAAGAGGTCCTCGAGGACGGAAATTTGAGTGATACCGAGCTACTTGAAGAATTAGAAAATGACGACGACGACTCGGTAATAGCCAACATACGTGAAAAGAGGATGGAGCAATTAAAACAAGAGTAGGTGCTATGGATGGCTTTGATTTTCCCTAGACCTTATATAATACGGGCAGGCCTAATCGACCAATAACAGGATGGCCAAGTTGCAAGAAATGCGTCAACATAACCACGGAACTTACGAAGAAATTCCAAACGAAAAAGATATTTTGAAAATTACAACGTCAACAAAACTTTGCGTTGTTCATTTCTTTCACAAAGAGTTTCGGAGATGTCAAATTATAGACAAGCATCTAGCGGTATGCGATCTATTCGATCTCATGAGCTTTGAGTTTATATACTTTCAATATTAGAAAACGAATTATTATTATTTTTACCTAGCCCATCTCGCAGAAACATTTCAAGACGAGATTTGTCAAGATCAACGTCGAGAATGCGCCGTTCCTCGTTGAAAAACTGAAAGTACAAGTCTTACCGTGTGTAATTAGTTTCATCGATGGGATATCAGTTGACAGGTAAGTGGTAATTTGGACATTCGTAATATTATTGTCGGCAACCTTATCCGAACCGCCTGTCCGATCAATACAACGGGGAAAAAAACAAACTCTGTTATAGAATTGTTGGTTTTGAAGAGTTGGGAAACACAGATTCCTTCACTACCGCAGCCCTTGAACTTCGACTGTCAAAAAGTGGTATGTGTTAATTGTCAAGTATCTATACTTGGCGAGTTGAACAGAGATGGCTTTTGTTTGTCGGCCAGTTCCTGATTTAATTAATAGATCGTCTGAGGTGTTTCCCAATAGAAAAAATACAGCTTCAATCCAGTTAATGTTTTTTCCCTCTCAAAGGATTTACGATAGACTTGTTTTATAAAAAAAAATATCATAACGTATATTCGTAGAGCAAAAGCTTGAAACATTAGTTGAATTGGAGCAAATTTAGATATCTCAAATGATCTATTGATTAATCAAACTTGTAAAATTGATGAAATCTACGACCTTTAAGCTTTTGAATGATATAGTTTTTGTCAATAAACGATCTCGTCACCCTTTTTCTGTTCACTCTGGATTTTGATTACAAACATTTGGTTAACTCGTTCGTTGATTCAGGTGTAATATCAAAGTCAGAAAGCCAGAATTCCGAAGAGCAACGAAGGACAATATTTGGCTTTTCGGGGAGAGATGATGAGGACGACGACGACGACGATTAGACAAACAATTTGTTCGGACAAGCTGCTGGCTTACTGTTCGATTATTGCATGTTCAAATCACGTGGCATTATTTATTAATAAAATGCGAGTTTGTTGTACAACATAATATTCAACAAACATGAGTTGACACCACTAGTGTTTGTTTCTTTAATGTCCTTTAAAAAACCGTACATCTGTCACGTCAAGCCGCATTATTTTGAATAGACTGAATTTAAAGATCTTACGTACGCGCACATAAAGACCTGAGAGATCATGTCGAACAAGGGAAAACATGTCACTCATATACTGCTGGCAGAATTTGACATTGACAAAGGTGCCTCGTTAACATACCAATATCCTGAAGAGACTGGTACAGACGAGCAGTAAGTCCGACTTGTGAATTTCATTACAAATTAACCCATTCATCTAATCAATTAACCGTTCTGTAAAGTCTACTGGCAGAACTCATGCTTCCCGACGGAGCACACTTACGAGCAGAAGACTGGACCGTATTCTTTTTGAATCAGACGATCCCAGATCCAGAAAAAATACAGACTGATGAGAAGCAAAAAAAGAACAAGCCCCAATTGCTCTACGTGTTGAATTTGGTCAGGACGAAACACGATACCAGCGTACGAAGGTCAGATGATGGGAATTAATCATCATTAGATTTATTATTTTTTCTTCTCGCTAATTAACATGGCGACATGTATTGCAGGGGGGCAATGGTTAAAGCAATGGCTATTTGTACAAAGCATCAATTTCTTCATATATACAAGGTCCGTTATTTACAATGTTACCAATTGTATAATGACATTCTTCTCCCATACTCATTAATTCATATAATTGCTTACATTCCGCAACTCCTGTAGCCAGTTCTATTATTAGCACTTGAAAAATATTTTCAAGATTCTTCTCGGGAAACGCTTGCAGCACTATATGAATCAGTCAACTCTATGGATGTTTCCAATATGCCACATCTATCTGCTACAGAGAGGGCAATTCTTCGCGCATCAGAGAACAAAGACATGTTTGAAGAGAAATTTCTTCCGTTTGAGAATAATCAAGGCGAAAATGGGGCTAAAGGATCAGGCAATGCAGACAAATCAAGCACAGAAGCAGCCGACGAAGAGAGATTGGCGAAACTTAAACGCGGAACATATATAAATTTATCTTCAAGAGAATTGATGTCTAATCTCAACAGTAAGAATAAAGATAGGCACTTTTTCGAGACATCCGTCGTGTATAATGAAATTAAGTTGCCGATAAGAGTGCCATTGACTGTCATGCCGGAAGAAGTTGGTGATGTGAGTATTATAATTGAGAGGAAAAAAAAGTATATGGTTTTGGTTATGGGACAGTGTCATCAAAAGCACGGGTTTTATGCGTAGTGTCATTCTGTTATAATCATATAGTATTAGTATTTATCGAAAGCTTTGAATTAGATAGTATTCGAATGTATGTGGCAATTAATTTCCTTTTTTTATATTCTGCAGTTCTCTCTCATTAAGCTTATTGCCACATTCCAAAACTCTTCACTAGTCAGTAACCACCAATACCATTCACACCTTGACACGAGCGGTAGTCAAACACATCCACTTATACTGCTACTTAATGCACTTCTAACGCAAAAACGGATCATTTTCCTCGGGCAAGGACGCCCATCTGGAGAAGTAGCTAATTACGTACTAGCAGCCTGTGCAATGGGGAGTGGAGGTGGAGGTGTACTTCGAGGATTCACCGAACGTGCATTTCCGTATACGAATCTAACACAAGTGGATGAATTGTTGAAAGTGTAAGTTTGGAGGATGCGGGCGGCGTAAGTGTGGATTGTTTTGGGGGGAAGGAGAGGGTGGAGGAGAGGATAGGGGGGGAAGGGGGGGGGCTATTTAAAAATATATTAATTTTTGATAATCACTTATAGACCGGGGTTTATTGCTGGCGTAACAAATCGTATTTTTGAAGATCATAGTTCTTGGTGGGATGTATTATATAATATAGAGACGGGTAAAATAACTGTAAGCAAGGATATCGCAATGCCGACAGATGAGGATGATGCAGATGATCGTAGCGAGGACATAAAAAGTCCGTCTTCAGGAAAGGGAGAATCGGGCAAAGACAAATGGGATAATTCGGATAATGAGTTTATTAATGAGGTAAGTCAGCATATAATTGTGCATTGTTTAGTGTTGAACAAAAAGCATGCTAATTGCCGTGATTCTTGTTTTCAAGGTTATTCATAATATCAACCATCACTATGGAGAAATGGCCATTCGGGCAAAGTTTCAAGAATACGTACAACGTTTTGTTCGGTTAGCGGCTGTATATGAAGCAGAGGTCATAGGATCGACTACGATTGGAATGGCACAGGCGATTGACAGCAAATATGCTTCTCTTGGGACTGGCCTCGCGTTTCCTGATGAAACTTGCAAACAGCGTGAAATGGCTGCTAATATTAATAGGATTAAGGGATGGAGGAAAAGCATATCATACAAGTATTACGAACAGGTAAATGATAGATACGTTGGGAAAAGAAAGAAGAACCACATTTGATTTTTGCAGTATCTTCTGACGCGTAGATTTTTTACGAATAGGACTTTAAGGACTATTTAAAGAACAGATGTATTAAGGCATTCGATGTCTATCACCAAGTGGCGAAATTGAAAACATTAAAAAATATGCCCGAAGAAGACGTTGAGACTCTGTACAAAGCTTTTGTTGACAATATTGTAACGGATGACCAGATCATCGAAGTAAGTCAAACGAACTTTATAGCTGGTGAATTTGGAACGCGTCTTAATAATGTATGTCGTTATTAGTTCTTATCTTACCTGCCCCAGAACCAAGGTGGACTCTTTCCAGTAGGTTTAGGTCTATTTTATCCACGTGAGAGCGTCCGTGCTTACACTGTTGAATTGTTCAAGAGGATAAGTGCACACACTGTAAGTTGATAACTGTATTATTTTCATTTACACTACATGCTGGCAAGTCTGACTATTTACTTCATTCGTATTCCCTAATAGACGGGTGTCAAGTTTGTCCAGAGTCTTAATTACTTTCAGAAATTCGCTTTCGAACGACAATTAGCATCCTTATCAGACACATCCGATGCCAACTCGCGCGCCACTGAGCAACAATAACAATACTGTACCATACATAGAAAATATAGACCGAATATTTCGTGCATTGGGATGAAACATTGGTAATTTATTGGGTTTGCGAAAGTGAGTGGCTATAGAGTTAATGCATGCGTGTGTTTAATTAATCAAAAGTGGCACATCGAAGTGTACTGTATTCACCAACAATGGACTTTGAACAAGATTTATAATTACGTAATAAAAAGTTTTATTGTAATTTAAGTTGGGAGGTCAAATATTTAGCCCAATACACCTAAATCCAGCGAGCAACTCTACGAGATTTAAGGAAGTGATTCTGTATATCTTCACATGAATGCTTTGTATATTTACAACCATTCCAATTAAATTTGCCACAAAATTTCAATGACCAATATATAAAGGAGAGCCAATTAACCCACACATCAACTAATACCACTGATAGTACAGACATCAAAATTCTTTATCTAACCTTGACTAAATAGGGTTCATGTCAAACAGACATACTTGAATTGGGGCCAACGTATTGACATCTCAATAATAAAATGTTTCTTACAAACGCGAAGTTTTTCTGTAGTCAGCCTGAGGAGGGCAATGCCCCCAATCCTGTTCTCCCGACATACCGAATCTTTGCTCAGCGTAATTTGGCTTAGCCAACCATAAGCAATTATCATCTGAATACGGTAGTCGACATACTTTCAGTTGCAAAAGTTGTTGAGCAAAGTGTTTGTAAATGCACAGCGAAAAAACTCCCGATGTTTATGTTATCCGTCCCAGCGTATTCACGACAAACCAACTGCGTGCTTGCTGCATTTGAAACTTTTCACACTTTAGAAAAATTAGTACGCGTTTTCTTCTAAGCAGTTATTTCTTCACCGTTTATTGCTTTCAACTGAGCCATTAAAACACAGTAGGTACGCGGTTTTGTTTTTTGTTGAGCAGGACAACAGTATTTTAAAATACAGTCAAGACTGGATAACGATATCTCTAACGATGAAATTTGTCATTTCCAAAACATTCTTATTTAATTCCTGTTTATACTGGTTATTACGTATACAATTGTCGAAATATATTAACTAGCGCAGCAAAGCACGCAAGATGAGACAACTTCACTATTTATGATTGTTCCGAAAGTTACGTAGTGTCTGATTATCGAATTTCTTCGCGAACGTATGTAGACATAGGTCTCGATTTTCAAATTCGGTTATGCTTGTTCGATAAGAACTGCACTACGAATATTTTAATAGAGAAGGCAATTGTGATTAATATACAAAAACCTCATAATGAAGATATCAACATGGGACTGCAGGATTACACGGAGAAACTAAGAGTTGATAAACGTATTCCCTAAATAGGGCATAATTACAATTCAAGAGCGAGAATTGCTTCGACACTTTTTTTTTATTATGGAAAAGCTTACTCCACAAATATGTCACAGCTGATGACTGTAATTAATTTCATAACAAAAAGATAAACTATCCTACTCACTTCGCCTTGGCATTTCAACCGTCATAGTGGACTAGAAAACATACTGATCATGAAGCACTAGCGATATAAACATCTTGTATCGAATTTCGATAACAGTACACGCATAATATTTATAGAGACCTGTCAGTGTGTGATGTAACACAAATAATAATAAACGTTGATTCTCATAATGTCATCCGTTGATTCACAATAGTGATCAAACGGACGTCCAGCCTAAGAGGTTCACGTGTACTCGACCAAGGCATACTGAGTCAGGAGACGAAGCGTATTTTCAATAGCAAACGAATTCTCGTCCAATTTCTGAAGATTGATTCATAATATTACTTTTTGTCGTTGGATAAAGAAACCGAAAGTCATGATCACTCACATTCCGTCGTAGAGCAATTAGCTGTGCTGATTAATATCCCTGGTTTTCATCCTTGTGTAATTAGAGTCTATTACCATCGCATTCCACTTGTAAACGTGTTCAAGCAACGTAGAGCATGACAAACCAGACTTTGAATTCTCAAAAACGCATTTAGTCCATTTTCGATTACAGCTCCCGTAATGAGGAATAACTTTTTCACGCGAATGGTAATATTTCGCAGTGTACCGACGTAGCACAAACGCGGCTTCGAGAAATATAATACCAATTTTAAATAATAAGTAATACTAATACTAAATTGTTCAAATTAAATTAATCAAGCATTCGATAAATTCTTATTCTCTTAACCCGTCGCAACAATGAATAATAAAAGTATGATTAGTAAGAACCCGATAAAACCTGAAGAACAGTTCCTACAGTCGAAAGCGGGTGAAGCAGTTCCACGCCAAGTACGTAAAGTTTCATTTCGAGTTACAAATTTCTTTGATAATGTAATATCGCTCTTTATTATTATTGACAAAATATTTTTCTCAAAGGCATCGACCCAAGCACGCATCAAACTTGACGCCACTCAAAGAATAATGTCCAAAAGTTCTTATTAAACTTATTTTGACCTAATTCCACAAAAACCTATGGGCAATAAAGGGTAAATCAACGTATTCTACAAAAAAAAACGAATTAATTTGATTAGTGACTTTTTGTTGATTATTCGATAATCTATTCCGCGAATTTATGTTCTGGTTTAAAAGCTATATTGAAAGAGTGAAAATAATAATAATAATTGATTATTAAATTTTTATTTGTATCGATATAATTTTTGTAACATTAATGTACCTCAACTGAGAAATAATTCTCTTTATTTTCCGCCATTATTGTACATTTTGGATTTGGAGGTGCCAATCTCGCCGCGGCAGTTCTCTACTCCACAAAAGCAAGGTTGACAATTTGCACCATCACACGCTTCAAACTGGTAGTCATATGATAATTCAGCGCCAGGCGGTATATTCTGTGATGCAAAGACGCCTACATACTGTTCTCCGCACGGTGCCAGCCTTACAAAAAGCGTAAATTATAAAAACACGTTAATACATATTTCATCACAATGGTAACTGTCTCGACCTCAAGAGTGAAAATTTGGTTACCGTTCGCTTACCACTTCTCGATATGACAATTGGGAGCACAACTATGGTTTATATATCTGGCATCTGTTCCTTTCTCAGACGCATCCAGCACCTCACCATTGTTGTATTCAAGAAAGTACAGGTTTTTCCGATTCGGCCGAGACTTCATCCGAGCAAAGCATGATTCTCTTGACAATACTTCGCCTCTGTATTCGATTATAAATTGACCCTTCCGAATAGGTTCTACCGTCATCAATCCAAATCCACGATCACCGGTCTTGGCGAAAGTGATAATCAATAGTCAACGGACAAGGGCAGTGATAGACATAAACACGTAACAGTTAGACGCTCATAAAAGAAGTAATCATCAAAACAAATCGACTAGTTTGTCAAACTAACCCAGATTACTTTTAATCCTTGGACGCTCTGACCCTTCTGAAACCGTTGATTGGAACATAATTCATCACATGGGCAATACTTGGGAGAGCATTCATAATACATTATTCTACAAACAGGATAACTCATCAATGAAGAAGTTTTACAAGCAATTCTCCCGACGAGACAATAGAGTACCAACCTATTTAAACAATTTTTTCCACAACCCATACTGCCATCAGCAGGCGGTTTACACTGGCAAATTGGTGGCTTGCTAGCTTTCTTTCTTTTGCGTTCTTTAAATATATCTAAACGAGACAAGGATTACATTACAAGACAATATTCAACGATAAGTCTCAAAGAGTTGGATGCGTAAGTACTCTTACTTGATCTAATCTTAATATATGGCGATGGTCTCTTCTCTCTATGAATCAACCCTCTATGATAAGCAGCAACGATATCCCACGGCATATCAAAATCTTGCTCTTTATTAGCCAAATATTCGCCAAAATAAATGGGCAATGGCATTAACGGCTTTTTCCTGCCATCCCTGTCGAGTCTACGTTTACGCTTTCTTGCGAATCGTCCAGAGGACCTCAACTCATCTATTTTCAGGTCTATCGAATATAGTCCACAGGTTAGGTATTGTTTGCCAGCACCGGGATATTCAGGTTGAGCCTGATGCAATAGAAAGGCGTCATCATTTTCGCTTTCTTCCTCCTCTTCGACTTCCTCTTCATCGGACGAATCCTCACTATCTTGACAGAGTTCTGGTTTTTTGACATGCTGGTTTTCAGATTTCGCCTTGTCTGAGGGTTGTTCAATCTTTTTTAACACCGCAGAATTAATTAAAGAAGCTCCTTGTGAACATTTAACCCTTTGTGAAGAAGCCTCCTATAAAGTGGGGGGGAAAAGAGAAAGAAAAAGCGAATATTTCATGTAGTTTAAATCGGAAAAGTAGGAATTGGCATATCAACTTACTAGCAATCACGAAAACAAGCCACTCACCATAGACTTTAGGCACTTACGCGCCACTGATCTTGTTCTATATATATGCGCTTGAGTTTGCAATGTCATCTTGCTGTCTTGTCTGATGATAACAATGATTCATATGAGCTTCCGTGGGGAAGATTCACAAGGTGACGTTGACGCAGTCGTAATCACGGTTCCCTGAGAAGAGCATCGACTCCCCTCCTTCAGGAAGTTGGTATCCCATTTCCGCTTTCCTCCTGTGTATGATGCGCGTGGCTTATTTCGCAATCACACGCGTGCTCTATGACCACATACGCGCGCCAAACCTGCCTAACGCGTATCGTTATATGCATAGTGCGCAAAACAGCAAGGTTGGCAACCTGTCCCGTATTGGTATTAATGCGTGACAAACCGGGGTAATACCCACGGTGATTTTCAGGGGTCACAGGTCAGCTGAATGAGAATGTTGCCGGGTGAAATGAATTTACAGATTTATTTACCAAAAATTAGGGAAACCCCAAGATTATCATTATTAAATTAAAAGTTATCAGCACATATTTAATATTTACTAAAAAAATTTTTATAATTTAATTTTGTTGTCGCTAACGGAAACCCAATGTTTGCACGTTTGACTATCATACTATCTATTCGCAAATTTTCAATTACTTTTTCTTTCTCGCTTCTCGTAATAAAGTAATCAATAGTGGCACTGACACAGGCACAAACAATGGCATGTATATCGCATACTTGTGTTCGTCAGGGAAATAGAGCATGGATACCATGGTCGGGTCAAAGAATGCAGATTCTGATCTCTCGAGCGCCTGCTTGGCGTGGTTCAACGCGGCAACATAGTGCATTGTACGAAGGTTCTCGCAAGCCTATGAATGAAGAAAAAGTATAAGTAATCGGACATGAATCGTACCATTTAATCCTTGAAACTGATCTTACCTCTTTAAGACTATCTAGTGCTTGCAACACCTGCACATTCAATTGATCAGTCAATCGTCTTGTTAAATTGACACTAGAACATTACTATAAAGCGTGTGGGCGTACCTCAGTTTGGATGTGGTCCAGCACCACCATATTAGGAATCTCGCTCACTAGCTGAGACAGGGATTTCAGAGTAGATATTGCAGCAACGATGTTTTCGGCCGTGCGACGACGGATCAAATTATCCAACTCCCATGCTGTTATGGCCGTACTTGGGGGAGGTGCATATCTGACTTTTGCAGATAATTCCTACGAAAAAAAAAATACGCTGTCTTAATATCTGCAAAAAAAAAAAAAGACGAAAGAATATTGTGGAATGAGATTCACCTTGTCGTCCGAGGTAAACTTTCTCACGCCTAATAACCCACGTAGTTGTGATATAAATATTTCTATTATGGGTTTTAATTTTTCGACTGTAAGTGTGTACGAATTGTTGCTTGTTTGAAAGTTGTTTATAACAATGCCTCCCCAACGAGGTATAAGAAATGCATTATTATCGATAGGATGACCTATAAATCGTTTCAAAGTGAGTTAGCATGTGGCCCACTTAATTTTGTAACAGAAACGACTATGGCCTAACCTTTGGAATTGTGAATACGTAGAGGGCTTTGATTTGCTTCTGGGATATACAAAATCATGTTGAGAGTTGGATATGAAGACACGGCAGATGCTATGATATTTTGATAAAAAGCAGATTTGATTAAATGAGGTTCATTCACATAATTTTAGTACATCATTAAACAAAAACCGTCTACCAGAGCAACAAGTTCTCTCATTCCATCATTCTCGTCCAAAAACACACTGACTCACCTAAATTCCATTCCGCAGAATTAACAAAATGTGGTAACATTTCCGGTCTCAAATAGTAATAGCCTTCATTCTCGTTTTTCTCTGGAGTAACAGTCAGCTGAGCATAATACTGTACTTGCGAATCAACCGTAACCTCCGAGAGAATTTTCAATTCATCCAAAAACGGTTTTAAATACATGTTTACAGCTTCTTCAATGTTCCAATCGACAAGCAAAGTTGATGGACACGCATTCATCAGGCTGAATGTTATTTGATAACGTGGAGAGTACTTCATCGCGCGCATGTTATCAATATTAGGCTTTTCTTCGGATGACGGAGGTTTGAAAAGAGCCGAGAGCAGTAAATATTCGGAATGGAAGAAGGAGACGAGGAGAGACGGTAAAATCTTGGTTATCGCGGCTGGTATCGTTTTCGTTCACATAATATTAAAACAGATGTAAAAGTGAGAGAAAAAGAAAATGGGGAAATAAGTGAATCGTAGAGAAAAAGAAGAAACTTTTGAACTCTGGTTCCAAAGTAACGGGTGTTATACAAAATTCTCAAGACATTACTCTCGTTCCAATCTTTACGATTAATCTGTACAAATGCGCGTCTACTGTTTCCCAAATCAACTCGCATATCACCACTTCCCGGAGAAATATAAAATTCGTATCTTCCGTTGACCTCTTCCATCGGATTCCCGAGTGAATCAACATCGATCTCGTTCTCTCTCCCGACGATTTTATCCGATTGTTCCCACTTTACGCTATCGACAGTAACAGACAACTGTGTAACCAATCCATCCACTTCTGCGTCTCGAGAGAACTGTTTGTTAAATGCGCGTTCAAGATTTCTCGACAGCTGCTCAAGTTCTATTGGTGTCTCGTCCTCTTCGGCAAAGTAAAAGATAAAATGTAGTGGAAATACAAGATTCGAAGTCTAAAGGTAGATCAAACAAACTTGGTTTTGTTAAATATTCTCGACGAGTGCGCCTGAGCAATCTCGGCCCAATCAGCTACATTACAACCCCCACACCTTTACTTATTCACCTCCCACCGAGACCATTGCTCTATTTCAGTGAACGGCAGTTGTGCTCTGTATACTTCAGTCGTTTTCCACCATAATGGCAGACCGATTAATATCACTGCCCAGAAAGAGGCTATTATTAGACGACGTGTTCGATCAGTGTCTGTTTGCGACATTGGGTAATTTCGCACTATTAAAAAGTCTCTAGCATGATGTTCAAGTACAGTCGACGTCACCTCCTATACAGTCACGTTGGCTTATAGTCACAATTTGATTCGGTCCCGGTTTTTTTCATAATGATTTTCCTCACATCATAGTGATAGTCACAGTCACCCGATTTTGGATCCCCGTCACTATTACTATGTCGTCGTTTGCTAATAATCCAGCCATTGCCAACTTGGTTGAATCCTCCTTAAGACGGGAATGGATACCTTACGAGGAAATCAAAAACGTAAAGCCGACTCAAATTGACAACGTTTACTACGCTATTCGTGATGATGAGACGACGATAACGCTAGTATTACTTGGAAGTAGCGAAGAATGCACAGCAGCACTTGTGAGTGAGTTTGCTAGAATATACTCACTTCCAACACACAAGTACAATAACAATGACAATAACTTTAGACGA